CATCTCACATACCTCATAAGCATATATTGAGAATAAATAAAATCTGTTTCATCTGTTGAGTAAGTTGAATGACGAAATCTTTGTACGGACACATAAAAACTCAACTGACTTCTGATAACCTGTATCATTCCTATGGCAGGTGTAATATTCGGCCGCTCATCAAAAGACGTGAATGCTATCGTGTGGTTTGATCTGTTGTGGTTTAAAACTGAGACATTACTGCTGAAAGTTGAGAAAGTGAAGGGATTGCAGAATACTGATTATAAATGCCTTCGTTGTGTTACTGGACTGAGGCAGAACCATATGATAAGTTATGCTAACAGTGGAATAGATGTGGAATATATTTCTTCTAACATAAGTCATATTCTTCCATTGTTAGAAATGCTTGTTAATAGAATCATTTTTCACCGTAAATCACCATTTGTACAAGTGTATTTTGAATTTTAATCAAAAATCTCACCGTATATGAAATTCCCTTGGAAAAAACATAATTCAACTTTAAAATTGGTATCAGTTCAGGTAAACGTCGCACGACTTCTGGTATTACTTTTATGAAACTAAAATAAGTTAAGGAAAGAGAAATGAATGATTGAAATAATTTATTTAATTTTGTATATATTGTAAAAATTCTAACTGCTGCCTAAACGGATTTCAGCTTTCCAGTTTAAAAAACTTGAGCTCAAGAAAGCAAATGAAAACTAACGAGAAATCCGCAGTCTGGACATCAGTTATTTATCGCTTTAAAATTTATAACTTTCTCTTTGAAAATAATTATGATTTAACGACAAAGAAAAAATGAGCGTAATGAATATTTGCCAGTGAAGTTTACTTCGACTGACGTCACCTAGCGGGGTTCTAAGCCTGGAAATAGAGAGAAGGCTGGGCATGGGACTGGCCTCCCTACACTGGAAAATCAGCCTAATCGGTACAAAATTTTCAAAGCGTAGAAAAGACTTATTAAATTAAATTTATTCTTCGGGAGAATCAGGAAAACGAAACGATGCGGGCTGGTGAATGGCTTCAGAAGGTCAGTCAGCCGATGTGTCTTCTTTCTATGAAAAAGAAAATAAGCATGAAGACGTGGGATGTTCGCAGGATATTTAAGGCTGAGAAGGCTGCTGAAAACTCTGTTCAGTAGAGATAACGTATTATGTTCAGAAAATAAGAATGATGAAAATCGGGTGATTGTCGAAAAAACTTAAAGAAGAATGGACATCCGATGAAGCGCAAAATAAAAGATGGAGAAAAAACATTCGGAATGAAGCACAAAACGGTAAAAATAAAAGGGTTGTTATATAAAGCAATCAGTTTAATTTATGAATTTCGGAAGAACAATAAGAACAGGTAATTTGTCTGAGGCGTGTAGTGTATTTGCGCAACATCTTTTTGAACATACTGATCACATATTTATTTGTCATACATATTCATATAAAAGGCAACTGAACAATCAAAATTTTTTACCAATATGAGTGGAAATGTTTGCTGGTCACGATCACAGATAAGATACAGGAAAATGAAGTAAGAAAAGAAGGGGTTGAAAGTATTATTCAGTAAAATGAACCTTAATTCTAAAACTGAATCAAAGATACACATAGCTGATAGGTACCAAATAGTCACAATGCCTAAACAAAGGGTATTCTGATAAATGGCTCTTTCTGGTACCAGAATAGCGTCAATTTACACTGAATTATTTTTTATCTCAAAGCAGGCACTGCAAATCTGATTGAAAAATTTTCATCAGCTCTCACATAGAACAAAAGGACTCCTTGTGTTATGCTATCCAGTGGACAGTTCTGATGAGGTTAAAAATTAACATTTACTGCAGCGATATACTGAGACTTTCGCTATTTGTTCCAGTCAGAGTATATGTCCTGAGTTCAAAAAGTCAACTTATGCATAAAATGTTTCATAAGTCTATGATTCATACAAACCTCACCTCCGGGTCTGATAAACTAACTCTTTAGCTGACTCAACAAATTGTTCATAATCATGAAACGCAACTAAAAAGCAAACAAGTGGAAGTTTTTAGGCTGTTCACAATATTTTTTGAATTTCATTCCTCAAACTCACAATAAACTTTGTAAAAAGAAGTATTGACAACAAATGGATATACTAGAAACTAGTTTTTTTTCCCTTCACATTCCCCATTAGAACATAGGGATCCAAGCTAGTGGCTTGAAGTTTCTGTAACAGTGTCTATTTTACAGGATGGGGTTGCTAGCCTCATGCCCAACCTTTCCTCTTTACCAGCAGTATTTCTGGCTTAGCGAGGTAAAGGAGTGCGTCGGTGGCCGGGGATCAAACCCCGGACCATGTGCATAGTTGGCGAGCGTCCTAACCGCTATGCCACCGACGCACTACTAGAAACTATGATAAACCTTTAATTTGAAACGTAACCTACATCCTTGTTTCAGTTTCATTTCCAAGCACACGACAGACATCATATAGTCTGAATCATTCATACTTTTATCATGTCCAGGGAAACTCACAATGGAAACCCCCAAGTTAGATAAGAAATACGTTTCAAATACATTTTTTTTCTATATTACAGCCGACACAATCAGTACTTCATTTACTGATTGTTTGATAAATATCAATAAAATTCGGTAAGTATACAACGAAATATTTAATTTTCGTTTTTAATTTAGCATGAGCAGAAAGCAATTTTATCGTGAGTTTCAAATAAAATACTGCATTGCTGACTACCATTAATAGTGTTAATCAGTTCTGAGAACATATGAAAATAGTAATTTTGATTTTAAGAACTACATAAAATGACAACGTGGAAGGAATACACACGAAAACCAGAAATTAATGTATGTCCTACCACCATAGTAAAATACACTTCTGTTGTAGTCATCTGATGGACCATATAGGGCTACAGCGTTATTTCCTAAAATGACACTGATATCCACCAAGCGGAACTACTGGTGCTAGATATACAATTTAATATTAAAAAATACTGTGTTATAAACTTATGTTGAAAAGAGATTAGAAGATTGTTAATTAAATATTTATTTGTATAAACTTGCTTGTCTGTCGCCATTACAAAGTCTCTTGCAGCTTCCGGTGAACTGAATGCATACATTTTATTATTTGAAGGCAATAATATAACCCCCATCTTGAGGTCGGCTGGCACAAGTAGCCCTTGATAACGAACCAGTGACCAAACACAGAATCCCTTTACACATTAGTAAATAAGCGTGAATTATTTCCTGAATGAACACAAATTGTTACTCAAAAAATGTGAATAATGGCAAACTGTAGGATAGACTATAATGAAAACTTACAAATAGGCTGAACAGTGATAATTTTCCAAACAGAATCGCTTTTCTCTACCGTTAGGCAAAGTGATATCTGCACGTGATATGTTTAAAAACCTTGTTTCATGTTGGAGGTTTACGAAAATTTAGTAGGTACAAGGAGTAGTAACAAGTTGATTGAATTTTCAGTGTACATATATAAGTTAATGAATTGTACATTTCACCGGCAAAATATGATGCAAATTAAGAGAGAAAAAAATGAAAATTTCACTTATAAGGTTAGCAATCTTTTGCGGGAGTTTTACCATGACGGTTTACCTTAATCTGATAATGACACTGAAATATGAGTGCGTTTTCTGATTTTCATTCTTCCACCTTTTTTAAGCATGAATCGATTTATCACACATGAAAAAGAGAAGACGTTCAGCGAAGAGACTCTTTTGGGCGAATTCATTCACATAGCTGTACAATCGCATTTATATAGAATTATTTGCGTGTGTGTCCATGAGGTTTGTAAAGTTTAGATAATTAATCAGGTAATAAAAGAATGATCTAATATAGAAACAAGGTTAACTAGACAGCGACTAAAGTAAGATTGAGTTAGTAAGTTAGATGGCGTAATATAATTGACTAAAATGTTTCAACTTAGGTCAGGGTAGCAACAGAGGTAATTACAGGCAGAGATTAAGTAGAAGTGCGTCGGTGGCACAGTGGTTAGGACTCTCGCCGACCATGCACATGCTCCGACGTTCGAGCCCACGCCGAAGCACACCTGATATCTATGGTCGGCCTGCGAATTTTGGGCTACCGATATCCACGCTGAAAATTCCTTACTTGTACCAAAAATACGGTGTAGAATCAAGCTGTAATAAAAAAAAATTAAAAATTAAATAATACCATTTAAATTAGAACTGAAATTGAGCAATTAAGTTGGATGACGTAACATAAATGACTAGAAATTGAGCGTTGGTCAGGTCAGTTAAAGTGGTAGTGAGGTGTAGAAATTGAATCGGGTGGGGGTAGAGAACAAGAGAGTTGAAAATGCAAAATATTACAATTAAGAAGACAGAATAATACCAATGAAGAGACAGAAAAAAAGGATCAGGCAGAATTTACTTTTCAGGTAATAAGACAGATAAAGTCCATTGTAAGTGTAGTGATTGAACGAACTTCTTCTGTATGCAGAGTTCAGGGCTTAACAAGTGAATCTCCATTGCTTCTGCAGTTTGAAGAAGTCTGTTTTGTACACCTTTAAGAAGACTACTTCTTACTCTGTAGACTACTTTGAAGTTTGTTTGGGGTGCAGCTTGGTGTCCGGATTCTATCAGATGTTCTAAGATGGAGCTGCGGGGACATCGTTTTTCTCCTTTGTAAAACCATTTTGGTAAGTGTTCGTTGATACTCTTGGAAAGCGAACGCTGGGTACGGCCGACATACCTGGCTCTACACGAACAGGTGAATTGATAAATACACATTGATGAGGCCAGCAGTGGTAGCTTATCCTTCACGTTCACATGAATCACAGGTTTTGTGGAGAAAGTTAGTCGTAGTTCAGCTGCGAAGGACGTCTTCTTGAGTGAGCGCGAGAGTCGATTTTTTAGTGTTTCCGCAGATATTTCTCCATTGAATTGAAGGTTCATGTAGAGTGGTTTCTTCGGGACGCTAAGCATGGGCGGCTTTTGTGGTCTAGGATTCATAGATTTTGCAATATCGTTCTAGGTAACAAATCTTGACGAGGATTCTCTTGAGATTGTCCAGTTCTTCTTCTACGGTGTCCGGGGTACATGCATGAAATAAGTAGTGTTGATCAGATATTTGACGCCGATAGTTGTATTTTCGAAAAATAAAAATGTGAATGCACTTACTCATAAGATCAGTTTCTCCATCACATGAATCAGAATATATTTACTGTTTTCTTTTTTTATTTCACTGAATTCTTAACTACATCAAGTTTATACATATTGCGAATACACATCATAATATGTTTCCGATTACCGACACTAAAGGTTTTGAGGTATTCATCTTAAATGGTGTTACAATATGCTCTAGTAAAACTTATTGGACAGTTTAACGTTTCATTAACTGATTGAAAATAAGTTAGTTGATTATTTATCTAATGTGACCGTTTTTTTTGGCATGGACGGGTAATTCACTATAGTCGTAACCTTTATTTACGTCCTACTTCACTCCACCTGATGACAGTAATACATAAGACAAGCGTCGGTAGTGCAGAATTAGAGTGCTCGTAAGCCTGTCGATGCACTCCTAAACCTCTCTCAGCTAGAAGTATGACCAGCCAAACAGGGAAAGTTTGCAGTGAGCCTGGCAGCCCCATCCCGTAAAAATAAAACCAGTGTTACTGGAACTTCAAAGATCACGTTTGAGGCTCTATGTTCCACTCAGAACGTAAAGGAATAAAATAAAAAGTTTTTAAAAAATACACAAGACATTGGCGTCATTCTTCTTATGTAAGGCAGGACAATTTCAGTCCAATATTATTGACTTTTATATTACAATGAGATACGATTACCATTTATAGTGGGGAAAATACTAGATCTTCGACTGTCGCTTAGTACTACGAGTCTAGATGGTAGTGTTCACATTATCAAACACTACTGAAGCTTCCTATCAGGAAAAAACTGTCTATAACATATCAGTAGCATTTTTGTCACGATGAGTCACGATGAAAGATAGAATTAGAGAGACAATACAGTAATTAGTATCTAAATTCCCTTCTGAAAGTAATGAAGTCAGAAAATGAGATTGCTATTGAAGATGGCAAAGGAGAACCAATTGTTATGCCTCAGGTTTTATATAAGAAGCAGTGATTTAGTAATCTGTTGGTAATCATCAGCCGTTTTTGTCACAGTTTTATCAGAGTGGTAAGATGAGGTCATTTTGTGTAGCAGATGTGGTCTATGACCCAGTTGTTTTCAAACGAGAAATTTTGTCTTTATTGAGCCAAAATTTACGTAGTTTTTCTTTGTCATAAGAGTTATCAGTGGGACCAACAGTGTGTGAATAGTATGAATCACTTTGAAGAATTGACAGTTAAAAGACCACAGAGTTAAATGTGATAATATCAATAAAACAGGTAGTAAACTTACCTCGAGTTGGTGAATTTTAGCCACTGATAAAACATATGATAACTTACTTCACATTCAATGGCCAAGTTGCTTTCTTCTTTGGAGGAGTGCGGAAAAACACATGGATAACCACCTCGACACTCCTCGCTTAGTGGTTCATGTTGCTAAAATACGAATTACATAAAATTGATTAAATAGGCTGAAAAAAGAAGTGAAAATGGAGACTGACATTAGTAATACTCACAGTGCAGATACTTTGTGCCATTAATGTCGAAATATTAAGTCAGCATTGAAATGACATCTGTTAAGGTCCACACACTAATTAATAGACTGGTATGATTTCAAATTACTACAGAAGATACTAAACTCACATTTAAAGTTAATTTCTCCATATTTTGTCGGAACTTTAAGAAACTCTACTGCTTGTTAGGTATTAATGTAGAAGTAAGTTTTAATTGTAACACCTAAAATATTTCTAACTCGAGTAGACTGTAGTTTACAAAAATTTTCTGATGAATTCAGGAGATAATTTTATAAGTAAATAAACTATTAGTTTGAGTCAGGAATTAATTATTTAAACAAATAGTTACACTTAATTTTTGTGGCTGAATGGTATACGAGCTTGCTAGCCTTGTAACTAGAAGGTCCTTGGTTCGAACCCTGGCAGTGGATGAGTTTTGCCGATGATTCGCAAACTAGGATGAAACAGCAGATGTCCAGTACTCCCTGGTTTTCAATGGTTCTCTAACTGATATCAATCCGTGATCAACTCGTATAAACATATTACTGCATTGTGGTTGGCAGCAAATTTCAATTTTCTTTAGCTCTAAAGATGGATTATTGTTGATTCATATGATAATAGAATATACCATCTGAGTAAACCAGAAGCGAAATCATATACAATGCTGTTGCCACCCGATGAATTCAGACAACCTGGAGAAATCTTTAAACTGGAGCAAAACATAGTGCTAAACATTGTTGTATTCAAATATGTTACTTTAGCCATTTCAATGAAAAATCTATGAATATAGACTTTTTAAACTCGATTCCTAGTCTAAGACATCACTTTATACTGAATCACATCGATCATTGAATAGTGTTCCAGCTATCATCCAATGCAGTCAGCGAAATTTTGATTGAGATCCTTTTTTGAAAATCAGCAGCAAAGGTATTTGTAAATCATTAGTACTAGTATATAAGTGCTTGAGCTGATTTTCTCACATTTATCTACTGGAACATGTTTAAACAGAGTAATCTGATAGTTTCCTAGTCTGTTGCCTGTTTTCATAAATTTTATAGTTAGTAAGCGTAAATCAGTGCATAGATTACCCTCAGAATTATTTATTTGCTTAATGATATTCTATCGATGATCTCGAGCCCACTTATTTATCTATGCAGCGTAGCTAATTTACGAATATTTAAATGGTAAATTTATCACTAAAATCCTTAAGCAAGCTAACGCAGATCTATATTCCATTTATGCTATTCGGAGAAATCGATATCTGGATGAATCATTTGATCAGCAACCGTCGTAGAGCCCTAAAAAGCAATGAAGAAGGTCGCAGTATCATTTTGTGGTATGGTGCTTAATTAATGTTCATAAGCATCCTTCCATTTGTGTTCGTCTCACCCTTAGAATTAATTTGAATATACACTTTCTTAATTACTTGATGATCGTTTTAATGTGACTCCTTAACTTGGTTTTGAATGTTTTATGCATAATGGGCGCTACTTCTCTATATGAACCGAATTCTCCATTGCGGATAACTGCTAATATATATATATATATATATATATATCAATTTCTAGTTATAGGAAGGGGTGAAAGTTATTAATTAAGGGAGTCAAAAGGGTCGCTTAATAGTTATTAACAACAGGTCACAGAGTCTATTATTTTTCAAGATACTGATGATTAGTAAGAATAAATGTATGAGTTATGTAAAAAACACCAAGATACGAATAATTTAATTGAACTAACTAAATTAGTATTGGATGGTGGATTTCATCATGAGCTGACATCAGTTAGGGAACCACTGGAAAAACTGGGAGTACTGGACAGCCGTTTCATCCTAGTTTGGGATTCTTCAGCGGTATGCAATCACCGGGGTTCGAACCCGGTACCTTCCGATTACAAGGCGAGCTCGTAGACCTTGTCCAATGACAACTACAACGATAGTTTAATTGTCATTTGTAAGACACTGTGCATACAATGTGAACGGCCGCAGCAAAGAGAGGAACTTTTGAAGATACCAAGATACCAATCTCTGTACCACTATTTTTTTGTTCATTACACATAAGACAAAGCAGCGTACCGTCAAGAAACAACTACCTAATAAGTATGCAGGAGAAAATGGTGCTAGGTAAGACGTACGCTATAGACACTATTGAGTTAGTAGGTATTTTTCCTCCATTCTGTTCAATACTGGAGTGCTACAGTGTGTTTGAAGTCCTTTAAACAATCCCTGCCCATAGTTTCTTTTGTGAGTAATTGAGTTATTGCTAGTTAAGTTGAGTATTTGGCCTGTGTGCGTTGATTTTCTATATACTTTTGTTTCTAAATTTCCTGTGTTAATTCTTCTGATTAAGACATCTAAAAATGGGATTTTGTTATCTAATTCTTGTTCTCTTGTGAATTTGATGTCTTCAAATATGTTGTTTATTCATTTGTGGGTATATTCCGAATCATTTCTTTTAATTATTACAAATGTATTTCTTAATGATACAATAAATTTTATGCGCATTACTTTTAATTGATATTAATGACACAGTTAAATCTCCAGAGAAATAATGTCATCCATTTTAGCTTACTTTACGATTTTCATCATAGGTGATTTCAGAATCGGAGATAAGAGTACACAATTTTTCCTTTGTCCATTTCAACCGACGTCCAACAAAGTATGTTTGTAAAGTATTTAAAGTACTAGTCAATACTGACAAGAAAACCATTTCATCTTGAAAAGAAGTCCAGCAGTTAGCAAGTTGTAAGAAGCCCGGCTAAAATTTGTAAAAACGTATAAACAAGTTAAAACTGATGCATAAATTCAGAATTACATTTAATCACCAAACTAGGTAGGCCTTTCTATAAAAAAATATTTAGTAATAAGTTCAATTTTATTTCTTGTCTGTTTCATTCCCGCATTTTGTGCTTAGCTCAGATTGTATGGAAAATGTGCCGACCAATGAATTAAGATGTTTTCATCCACAAATGGCAAAATCTGGAACTTTTGTTACCTTTACATATACCTTCCAAAAACAAGTTATTTCATAGCTGTTGGTGAGAAACTTTTGGATAGATTTTTTCGAATAAACTGATGTTATTTTTTAATGTGGAAATAAGTGAATTCCGAATGAAAATGTGGTTTTAGTCAGGCTTCAGAACAGAAAATTCTCACTTATCTAGTCGGCACTTCAGAGTTTTGTGGTGGACACATTTGAGTTATCAGAAGCATTAAAATATTTCAAAAATAAAATTAAGCACCGACCATAGTAAATGACGACTTTGTTTCACTTGCCTGCCTCTTCTAACTATTATTATTATTATTACTACTGTTACTACTACTGTGCGTCTGTGGCACAGTGGTTAGGACTCTCGCCGACCATGCACATGGTCCGAGGTTCGATCGCCTCCCGACGCACACCTGTTACCTATGGTCGGCTTGCAAAATTTGGGCTATCGATATCCATGCTGAAGATTCCATACCTGTACCAAAACATATGGTGTGGAATCAAGCAGTAATCAAAAATAAAAATGTACTACTCTTTCTGTTCATACTGTTGTGAAGCTATAGCGGGTTGGGACAAGTTTTACATTGTCCTTTTAAATTTATGCTTCATTTAAGAACCATCTTTATACCACAGAGTGCTTACTGTAACTTCCTATTCAGTAATCAGGGAGTTACAAGTCTTTTCGAATGATTTGTCTTTCTTAGAATACATTCACGTTACTTCTCCCATACTAACCATGATTCTTTCAAACACATTGTTGATAATTAAGATAAGACTGGAAACTTGTATAGTTTTCTATTTGCCTTAAACGAAACCATATTTAACGCTGTTTTAAGTGCACAACACATTTGAAAAGATAAGAAAAAATCAGTATTTTTTACATAAAGGTCTTACATAAACTTCGCTACTTGGCACAGCTGGACGATCACTGATTAGCGTGTGTAATCTTTTCATACATCCTTTAAAACTGTCAACCATTTTCTCTAAGCCTGTGAGCATTTTATTCAATTCTTTCTCAATTATCCTTAAAAATTTCCCATATTGTCTGGCGTTTACAACAGCAGCGCGTAATTGATTGGGTGTGATATCAATCTCTTTGGCAGCCTCCGCAGCAATATTAGCTGAACTTAAAACACCTGAAGTTGGGTCTACAGCCGATAGTTTCAAGAAAAGACCTTGTGAAAAAAGAACAGATAAATGTAGGTATTAAAACTGAGTTTTAAATTATTAATAAGTGTGTGACCATTACATCTGTTTGCTCTTCTGAATATATATATATATATTATAGGCTTTTTTCAGTAAGAAGAATTAGTCTATGTGGACAAATAGGATCTGTACAGAAGCGAATACATACATAATGGATACAAATACACAACAGAAGGCGCACATCAAGAATCTGTACATAGAGCTCTCGTCATTTTTGCCTAGAAGGAGAATACTCCTATGTAGGAAACTTTATATACTATAAGCACCTGTAAGTTTTTTCTAATAGCACTGTGTTTTAATGAGGAAGTGTCCCTAAACTTGAACACCACTGATTTTCAGGAACTAAGGTTGCTGGCGCTACTTGTCCATTTTGTTTTATTTCCCACTCATTTCATGTCCCTCGGTTGGGCGGTATTTCAGAGGTGTTCAAGTATTTAGGTCTGCTGAATAATGATGTTTTCTAAGGGTAGACTATACATGCATGCTTAAATGAAAGGCTAATCAGCAGCTGAAATAATTTATTATTGTGGGTGATGCTTTCGTTTTTGTTTAAATGTTTTTAGTAGTCCGTGTGGTTTTAGGCAAATAGTACCACGGTGTTTAAAATGCCCTATGCCTTAAAATAAAGTCCAAACAGTAAGAAAGACCACTGGTTACATTTCAAACCACTTATAAATTTCTTTTAATCGTAACTTAATTTTTAGACACTTGATGAATAACTTTTGCATCGATTTCCCTCTAGCAACATTTCAGTGAGAATGCCAATTATGTGAGGAGAATTCATGACTGCTTTACAATAGAGTTCTCGTAAAATTCTGCTTTCTAATAATACCGTAACTGCTTCTTTATACAAACGTACTGAATTACCTATTGGCAGCACACTGTGGCCATCGTCATTTAGAGTCATAGCTCGAGGTATTGTAAATTAAGCTAAAATTCTACCTTTAATTTAGTCTAGGATTACTTAATATTTCTAAGATCTTCAGCTTTAAATGCCTGAACGCATATTGCGTATGTCTTTTTAATTTCTATTACTCAATTACTTTTGCAAATAGAACCGTTTAAGTAACATAAACACTAATGAAATTAATTGATAACTGAGAATTCAATGAAAAAACTGATAGTAAAGCACATGATGAAAGTATAAATTTATTGTGGCTATTCTACAACTTGAAAACGAGAGAGTAAAAGCTTATTAAGTCAGGGAATAAATACGAAAAAAAAATTTCTAAAATAATTTATGAAGAGCTATTCATAATTAGAGTATCAAGCAGTGCGTCGGTTGCACAGTGGTTAGGACTCTTGCCGACCATGGACATGGTCCGGAGTTCGATCCCTGCCGACGCACACCTGATATCAATGATCGGCCTGCAAAATTTGGCCTATCCATATCACATACTGAAAATTCTATACTTCTGCTAAAAATTACTGTGTGGAATCAAGCTGTGATAAAAAAGTGTTGTTTACTTGTGTAGATGGCAGCAAGTTCGTTGGCCTTCTTAATTTCTTCATGAACTGTCTTCAGAGTCATAGGTAAGCCTTCGCTTAGCAAGTGGGGAACTGAAAGTAATAAATACAATATGTGTATGTATATGCATGATGTGTTTATATTCACACGTCAAAATTTAGAAACATTAAGAATTACAATAAAATACGAGGACTTAGAACAATATAACCACTAAGGAAATGAAGAGGTTATATTTCAGTTAAATAAAGGCAATCAAGGAGAAGCCAAAAGGCTGATTATCCCACACGTCGGCTTTCATTAAGATGCCCATTTCCTTAATAGGATATTAAGACCAAAGTGATTTGAAAGATTCAAAAAGTTGGCAGTACTATATTAAGACTGTTTCGTGATTACTGTATTTAATCATCAAAAATCAGTCACACTTAATCTCATTGTCAAACTACTTTTTCAAAGGAGACTGATAGACCTCTTCGAATACTGAGTGAACAATCGTCAAGGATAAGATAAGTGCAACAGATTTTCAGCATAGCTATGTGCTATTTAAAATCTTAACTTATTTTTATTTATATAGTTGGTAAGCATTGAAGACTCAGCTAATTGCTTTTAAGTGTCCGTAAATTAGACTGCCAGCTATTTCTGTGTAGTCAAAAAGTTGCCATTAAAAAGTAGGTTTTGTTTTTCACAATACTAGTCTACAAAATTCATTTACATTCTGAACAGAACGAATGTCCAGTCAAAAATTCAAATAAATCTTACCCAGTAGTTCAGTCAAAAACGCCACCACTGGTCTACTGGTGCCATAAGCCAAAATCGAAATTCACATTTTCCCCCTGTAGTCATCAATCACCAATGGTCAGTCTAAAGTGCAACGAAATGCTTAGTTTCTAAACTTGGTTGGCGAATTGAAATTTTTCGTGAAAATTTAAGTCAGCACTAGAAACCAGATAACATTCCAATGACTAGTCATTTTAATACTTGAGATAAAATCATGAACAGACTATTAATGTACACAAGGCATAAGCAAACATAATTTCCTGTGATATTTACTTTGGTCGTTGTAAAAAAAAATCCACTTTCAAGATGTGATACTGCAATAGAAAAATACTCATTATGTATTGTAAAGGCGTTGGGCAATACAACAAGCACTACCAGATACAATCAGAGTTCTCATTTGCAGAATTCAAGCATGATGTCGCTATTTGAAAAGAGCTTTTAAGCTGATCAGAAACTATTAGCTAACTCACGGTTAGTTTGGTATTAATTGGTGCAATGCTAATAATATTTTGGAAAAATCATCCCGACAAAAAAGTGTAAACTAACGGTCATCAATACCAGCTCCTCCTTTGTTACAGTCTTTGTTATACAAGCGTATACCAGTGACCAAACCAGTCAATTCATACAACCGTTTCCTTTTTTGACCAGGATTAGCAGATAAAAAGTTTGCGATATCCGTTTGTGGAAATACACTTTGTAGTGCAGCTTCAAAATTAAAGAAAAATCCACCGAAAACAAATTATATAAAATCAATCACAAGGTTAAGAAACACATTTAAGGAAGCGTTATATGTCCATTACTGTTCATATAGATGGCCACTCCCTAACTTCAATTCCTTCAGCTCTAACGTTCAAATGATAACATTTCGGTATCCTTCTTTTCTGCTTTTCATCCAAATCATTTCTTTGGTAAACGTGTTTAAATTTTAATACTACGTTTCACTTAGTGTTTTCAGTTTATACATAACATTTTTCTCTTCCCGGTCATCTTTTTATAAGGAAAATAATATTAATTACCAGTAAAATCTAATTAAAAATTATCATCAGGATCATGTTGCAGATCAACAGCAAATTCCTTTAGTTGATATTTCACTCAACTTTTTATTAGTTGTACTGAAAATGCATTTTTGGTTATTTAAACAATCTAAAGATATATGTGGAATAATCATGGATTTGAATAAAAACTTATCATGCAATCATACAGTATTGTTTTAACTCCTCTCACACTCTGAATGGATACTATACTATTTTCCCTTTCTGTCGCATATGTGAAATTTAAAGTCTGCAGCTTTTACGGTTGAAGAATTATAACCACTAGTAGCCAGGGAACTGAAAAGTGCCATTTCGGTTATTTCGTGTAACAAAACGCTGACAAAAAATATTTGCAATTTTTAAAAATTACTCAAAATGTCAGAATTTTATAGATCTTAGATAACGGTCTTCCAATAAAAGTTGACCGCAAAGTGTACAGAACTAAATAAACTAGGCACTCTAACACGTAACAGCTCTACGATTAACACATAGAGCAACAGTTAATTTATGCTTTTTTAAAAACTGTTCTAACTTTTCAGAGTTGTAGTAAGTATAAAGGTTATGTTGTTTGCAGAAATGCTCTGTTCAGTGAAGCAAAGACTATATTGGCTAATATGGTTCAAAAGCACTAAGAATTCGAATATTGCATATGAAGACTTATGATAGCTTAGGGATTGTATAGTAGAGAAGTGAAACTTTAGCGAAAAAGAATCCTTGCAAACTGCCAGTGTATGTACGCAAATCGCCAATAAAGTGTTTTGCAAAATGATATCCAAAATATGTATAACTTACCTGTTGTTTCTCTCACAACTTCCATGTTTGTTGGAGACCCAAGACCCGACTGTAACAACAAGGCTGATATAATATTGCGATAAGTTGCTTCTAATTCTTCTCTCATTTTAGCTTTACTGTCAATGACATCGCGTAACACAGGCTCCAAACGCTTTTCCAGCACACGATGATGTTCATTTAAGAATTCACCTAGGGAATATTTTAGACTAACATCAGGCATCTCGTCAAGTACTACTGGATTAGATATGCAATATTTCTAGTCTATTTTATATTCCTCAGAGTTGTTTACTTTGGATAAAATGGTAAATCACTTATCTTAGATCTTATTTTGGCAGTAATCTATTAAAAGGAAGCTTGATAAAAGCTGAGGAAAATATGGCAACGGTTCTACAAATAACATAGGTTTAGGTCTAAATAGATCTAAACTAAGTCAGCAGAAGGTATTATTTTACTGAGAAAATCGTTAGACTTGGTGTACTTAACTGCAACCATGGGAGAGAGATTGACTTTTGAACAATCTTGGGTTTCGCTTGAAGCCCAATCTTGTGTGCTTATGCTATTAAATAATCATCCAACTGTTCTTCTTAATCAGTGTCAATCAGATTTCAGTTTTATTGGTTGAGGATAGAAGGCTTGGAGCCTATGTTAATCCTTTTCTAGTAGATTTCTGTGGTTGTCCAAACCCTTCTTGAAGGAATCAGTTGAGGTTGCAGACATCACCTCTTCTGGGAGTCGGTTCCAGGAGTCCATGACTCGATGTGAGAACCAGTACTTAACAGCAATATGATTTCTTCTGAGCTTTTGAACTCTCCTGCTATATCCTCTAAGGTGTTGCAACCTGGTGGGATCGAAAAGAGAGAATTGGTCAGGCCCGTAGTCATTATTTAAAATTTTAAACATTGTGATTAAGTCTCCTCTCTGCCTACAGTATGACAGGGAGAAGAGATTTAAACTTTCTAGTCTTTCCTCGTATGATAAGTTAGCTATGCCCTGAACCATACGTGTTGCCTTCCTTTGAACACTTTCTAGAATGTGTGAGTCCACTTTTAGACAAGGACTGGCGGCCTGGATGCAGTTTTCCAGTCCTGACCTAACCAGAGATGTATATAAGGAGGTGAACAAATCTCTGGTAATTCTAGTAAAGCCTCTGCGAATTGCCCATAGGGACCTGAAACTACGTGCAGCCACCGCGCGACAGTGTGCTGTAGTTCTAAAGTCCTGGCTAACTGTGACACCTAAGTCCAAGTGAGTCTGAACTGATGGAAGTGTTATTCCCTCTAATTCAAAGGAGCTTGTGCTTGATTGTCAAATGCGCATGGTTGCACATTTTGCCACATTTATCGGTATCATCCATTATATGGACCACTCGGACAATTTGTTGGCGTCCTCTTGCAACGTGGACGTGTCACTGTTGCCCTTCAGCTCTCTCCAAATTTTTAGGAGAGGACCGAGTACCGTGCCTTGTGGCACTCCGCTACGTACTGCTGTCCAAGAGGAGAGTTTTGAGTTGATCCTAACCCTCTACCTCCTATCTGTGAGGAATTCCCCGAGCCAGTCTAGTAATCTGCCTTTGATACCAAAACTTTCCAATTTCATGAGTAGTCTTTTGTGAGGTACTTTATCAAGGGCTTTGCTGAAGTCTATCAAGACGACGTCAGCGGGTCTTCTGTTGTCCTTTGATCTGACCCAGCTTTCTCTTGCAGTGAGGAGATTTGACAGGCATGAGAGGTTCCTACAGGTTTCCCTGCTTTTATTAAAGTATGTAATTTTTTCAACCCAGCAGGGCACATCTTCTACCTTAATATTATAAGTCTTGATATGCTTGTCCTTGGACAACCGTTAAGCAGGACAACTGATAAAAACGAAACAATTTGTAGCAACTGATTATAACAGACTGACTGCCGATGAAACGGACATATGTAATCCTATTACAAAAGGTGAATAAAAGACGAGAAACGGAGCCCACCAACTAATAAATATGACAGCGGTTAATATTCACATAGTGAGATAACTAATTGACAGTTATAAGAGTAATTTTTAGATACTTTCAAAACTCGAAACAGGTGTTTGGCAAATTCTAAAAATTTCGAGGCATTCCAATGACAAAATTGACTCTAAAATCACTAACCGATTATTTTCTACATCCTCTGGGGAAATTAAAAAACACTTTTTTTATGGGTTATGGTATGTTATACAGACAAATTACAGGAGCGAAAATCAAGATGATATCAAAAAAACCAAGAAGTGTTCGATCACTTCTTGGTTTTTTTTACTTTTTATGTTACTATGACTAGGGAAGTATCCAAATGGTGACATGCAGATACATTTAACTTTAAAGATTGAAGAAGTCCTAGGCGTCAAACCATAAGGATCAGTTAGCAGACTTCGTTTAAATAGAGAGCGGCTGAAAGCAACGACGTGAAGCTTTGACTAATGCTACTTAGCACTATTTAGTGTATCCTAAACTTATTGGAATGGAACTCAAAATGTTAAAGTCCAAAGTATATCTTGATATAAATAAGTTACCTTTTTGGAGATGATTCATTTCAAAGAAGACCTGCATTTTTATAGTGTCAACAGATAAACACTCCTGGTCAGTAAGTCTGCCGACACATAACTACTAAGTTGTACACAGTTATTTTGTGGCTTACTTCGATTAATTTTTTAATGTCTTCATTATCCAGTGCCTTATCCGGTAAAAATCCAGAATCTGGATCAAGAACAACTGCCTTGACCTAATTCACAATTTCATGTCTAAATTGATGCTTACATACTATGAAAGCCACTAGTGTTTCCGAGACTTCATGTCCTCTTACAGCACACTGCTGAACTATCTGTTTGATTATTCTTGTAATAACCCCTTCAGCCTTAACACTAGTCATAGCTCAAACGATGTTTTAAAGTTTCATGTAAGCGAACACTATGGTACAAGCCATTTAAACAAGGTTTGTTACCACATAAAATGTTATATGTAAATCTTAGGGTCTTTCCAATATCCAATATCGTTTTTACAGGCTAGTATAAACCAATTTGATTTCTTTGTGCTCGCTTCTTGATTGTAAGGTATAAGTTCCTGATCTTCGGTAAACTTCTGCGTAGCTTGTCCCGCCACTCGACTGTCGTAGCTTTGGTTGACTCCAAAGGGAGTAGTGCTGGGATTAATTATATGTGGTTTGTAGTATGAGGTATGTTAAGACTGTTACTACTGTGACTGGAGTTGATCCTTTCGCCAGTTAGTCCTTCGGTATCGTCGATAAGAGAAAGGAGATAGTAATAGTAATAATAATAGTAATAATAATAATAGATATAATTAGTGAAGTTATTCAGACTAAGAGACAGAAACGAAAATAGGAAACGTAACAACAGTCAGCTCATTAAGTTTGAAGAATAATATATATATCGGTAATAGTAATAGTAATGATAATAATAGTAATTATAATATTATTAAGTTGTCAGGAGAGTAAGACGGGAGAGAATGAAAAGAAGTAAAACGATGAGTTTTGTATATGCGATTTTAAGGAGATAGGCCATTTGGATGCAGTCCTTGTATCGCTGCATGGTTGTCCAGCCTTCGCTTAAAGGCTTAACCCTAGTCAATTGGTGAAACTGCACAAGTCGAACTGATTGAACATGCCGTAATAACCGTCTCCATATGAATGCAGCGTGCTGCACACAAATAGTCTTAAAAAGAAACGCTTGAGACTACTTATGATCTTGAAGGCACTTTATGGGAGTGGACACGATGCTTGCAAAAGAAGCCCAGCATTCGGTTGTCTTGTCGACATGATCAAGGAGTGCCACATGCGCATTATTAGTTCATGGGAAAAACCCATCCCCGTGTTTCTGGTACAAATGCCAACTTTTCTTCCTGACACAGTCTCATGCAATGTTTTACAACACACTAAGAAAATTGGTCGAATTCCCTAACCCGAATATGATTAAATGTCCAAAGAATACTAGGACTCCTGAAGTCATGTCCGGTAGATTATTATTATTATTATTATTATATAAGCTTTATTCCAAATCAGTACTTGTGATACAGAATGGAATTCTCAGCATTTTACTACAATATTGCATCCAGTTTTTTGTTTACATTAACAATAAATAAAGTTCTACATAGTTTAAAGATTATCTCAACAACATATTAGTATGTCGGTAGCAAAGCCAAAATTAAAATGTTTGAAGGTGTTACAAAAGTAGATACTACTAGCATATTTACTGGCGTAAGCGATAGCAAAATGGTCGAGATATACAGAGTGTAAAAGAACGAACAAGAATGTTTTAAGTAGAGTTTGCAAGGAAGAGAGAAACAAAACAGCACATAACAAAAATAAATACAGAATGAAGAGAGAGAAAACGTTGTACCTATAAATGATGTGAGTTGGAAAGACGAGATTCATTGGTTCTAGTGACTATTTAATAAGTTAAAGGTTTCATGCCTGATGCATTCTTTATCACACAGAACACGGGCTAGGTAGGGTATGGATGAGTTTTTGTACTTACTAGTGCGAGCATATAGTTTCCTATATAGACTTCTTGTTTTCCCTGAAGAGATACATGGGGAGAGTTGTGAGTGTAGAGGGTGTTGTGAGTCAGATAAAATGGACTTCGCCCATTTTTCACATGAGTCCATGTGCCTGTCCACCAGAATGTTAACAAGCTGGCTAAGTGGCAAGCTGCTTACCCTGCTGACAACCTTTAACATCCTACGTAATAAGGTATAGTCTTTCTTCAATAGCCCAGGAAAGACTAAGGGGGAGCAATAGAGAATTATAGGCAGAATACGGGAGTTAACAAATTGTAGTAGTAAGGGTTGGGTTACACCAGAATGTCTTAACTTCTTGATGTAGAAGGTAAGACGGTATATTTTCTTGGAAATCGTCAAGATATGAGACGACCAGGAAAGATCAGAAGATAGAGTGACGCCTAGGTATTTAATTTCCGACTTAGTTTCTATTTCAGTGCCATCTATGTTGCACACCTCGTGAGCGCTAACCAGTTTGTTTAGGTCAGATTTATGCCTAAAGGTGAAATTAACTGTTTGGCATTTGGAGGGGTTTAAGGTTAGACCGTTTTCCTTGGACCATTGGCTAATTTCTGATAAGAAGCCATTTAGTTTAGAGCAGTCATTTTGACATTTGACAGGTAAAGATACAGTCAGGTCATCAGCATATTTGACAAAGTTAATATCATTTGAAGACGGTAGGTCATGTAGGAAGAATGAAAAGAGAAGTGGGGAGAGTACAGCACCTTGGGGGACACCAGATTCAGTGAGCACAGCAGAGGAGGATTGACCTTTGTATACGGTGTACTGCATTCTGTTTGAAAAGTAGGAATGCAACCACTTAGTGACCCAAGACTCGGTTTGTGTCGTGGAGAGCTTATTTAGCAAGAGACTTCTAGGTACAGAGTCGAAAGCAGAAGTGAAGTCAAGAAACGTGCAGCGGACATATTTGGCACCTTTGTCTAATGATGAGACAATACTGTTGTGTAAGACGGCTGCAGCGTCTAAAGTACTCCTACCCTGTCTGTAGGCAAATTGTTTGGGGTCTTCGAAGCTTTTAAGGGAGGGTTCGAGTTTAAGAAGTATTAGTTTTTCCATGAGCTTTAGAAACGGGGAAGTGATGGCGATGGGTCTGAACTTTACGTTCTTGCTATTTCCAGGTTTAGGGACAGGGACTATTTTAATGTCTTTCCATGGAACAGGTACAACGTTTTCGGAGAAAGAAGCATTTAGTATATTAGTTAGAGGAGAACATAAAGCATCTGCACATTGTTTTAGGACATATGCAGGTATGCCATCAGGGCCAAGACTATGTGAGGGCTTAAGAGTTTTAAGACATTTCAAAACATCGAGAGTATTGAAGTCCTGGAAGTTATCAGCTACAAGATTGGTAACATTAGGAGTGGTTATGGTAGAAGGAGAGCGTATAAAAGACAGATTAAGAGCATTAACATCACAAGAGGGAAAAACATTACATCGCTTACTATTGCCAGTAATTTCATTGAAAAGTTTCCACATGCTGTTTGGAGATTTGCATGATAAAAGTGTTTGGTTATAGATAGCATTAAGATTCTTGATTTCAGATTTGATTTGAGCATTTATCTTTTTAAGTCCTAACTTGTCTTTGCATTTATATAACATTTCTTTTTGCCTGCGAAGTTGTTTGAGATGGGGTGACGAGAAGCGGTCGAGGCGTTTGAACAGTGTTTGTTTGGGACAGCATATGTCAAGGCAGAACTTAAGATAGTCCGTTATATTGGCGATTGTATCATCTAATTTACTTTCATTAAATAAATCCCAGTTGGTATCTTTTAACATGCATCTTAGATTGAGTAAGTTGTCAGATGTGTAGCTTCTTTGTTGTGCCTTCGTGGACAGGTGTGAGAAGATTTTAATATGTGTTTTGCTGTATATTTTTGGCAAAACGCGGACAATGCAGTGATCGGAGTTATGTATCGGTGAACGTCTACGTGTTTCATATACTCCTTCATCATTGGTAAAAACCAAGTCAAGGGTTTTGTCAAGTCGAGTGGGAAATTTGACTATATTTGTGTGACCAAGAGCTTCAAGAAAGGAGCAATCTGATGTGTTGAAGTCTCCAGTAATAACGGATAGAGAGTTGTCGAAGTTGGCAGCAGCAAACATGGTGAATTCATCAGCAAAATTAGATAGATCAGATGGAGAGCAACTAGGAGAAATGTACATGTTTGTAATATAGAATTGTTTGTATTTGGGGATATGTTTGGGGCGACATTTGACAGTAATACAGTCAATGAAGTCATTTGAGAAGGTGAAGCAGATGTTATTTGAGACAGACCATTTGGAGTGAATAAAAGTTGCAACGCCACCACCATTTTTCTTATTACAACAGCGACGGTCTTGTCGAAATAAAATAAAGTCCTTTAGTGAGATAAGGTTGTCATCATACAGTTCATGCAACCACGTTTCTTGTAATGCGATTATGGCAGTGTTATGATACGTATCAGTTGACATCAGGGATTGTAGATACATTATCTTATTTGGTAGAGAGCGACAGTTTGAGTTCATTATGACGGGGACCGTAGTTAAGTGTATTGGTGTACGTTTGAGAGCTCTCTGCCAACCACTACGATGTTATATATTATATGTTATATATATGTTATATGTTATATATATATATATATATATATATATATATATGTTATATGTTATATATATGTTATATATTATTATATTATACTCATGAAAACTCATCAAGCACTGTAGTGTGAGCACCAGGGAATTTCAATGCTTTAAAGAGACTGCTTGCATTCCCCTCAAACATGGAATTGACAGTGCAAAACGGATTAATAACAGCTTGAGAAGGCTAAGGTCACAGACTTTAAAAGGGAAGACAAGCAACTGTGGACTTTACCTAAATCCGAGTTTAGCCGATCAGATTGTCTCATCCAGCCTAATGAACTATTGTTAAGCAAAAGTTCACCAGCATAAATGTCACGGTTTGATCGGGTGCAGTCGTCTATTATGTGCAGCAAGCAATCGCTTTACATACAGCCGGCAAAGCTACGCAGATTGAGCAGGGGTGTTTAGTCATCTCAGAGTAAACCACTCACATAAAGGATGAGATGAGGCCTTCTGAAGATGATAGGAATGAATTATTTCTGTCCAACGCACTAACCATGAAGAGAAGCTCTAACATACAGACGATGTCTGATAGGCCAAGGGAGACACCCAGACTAATAACCTCCATGTCCATGGTCATACATAGTGTCCCGGAGCTGGAGACTGAGACTACTTGAGAGAAACCTACGCATGATATACAGCAATCGAGATGGTTGTTATCTTAAATGGACGTCGGTGGTTAAGCAGCAGTCTCTGTTTGGAGACCGTTTCGTCAATTTCATCTACATCGACCAGCTCCTCAGGGC